GAAACTGAAAGCTCTGTTAAAATAATACTGACCTGGGAGTGTTTGGGAGGATGCTGCAGGAATTTTAACGTCCCCTAAAAGACAAAGGGAAGGGATCAGTCGAACACCCTGTCACTTCTCTCATTAGCAGGAGGGTCCAGCAACATTAAAGACCATCAGAGGCTAAGGGCAATCAGAGAAGCTCTGCATTCCCAGAGACCTTCTCCTGCTTTGCTAGCAGGTGTCTCAGCTTCTCTAAACTTATTCTGGAGTTTCTCCACCTCACAAGGAATCTTGAAATACTTGGTTAATTTCCTGAGGATAATTTCTGAACTCTCCAGAGGAACCATGATCAAAGATTCTAAAAGTGCATTTAAACCACAGGACTTTGTTCAGTGGATTAGGATTTTAGCCATGGATAATGAAGATGGCAGAGCTGAGACACCTGATTGAATGTACATCTCCTGCCTCTCTGTGCCCCCAACACGCCTAACTTCAATACCTGGGAAGTTATCATGATTCAACAACCAGTTTGCACCTAGAGGATAATAGGGTTATAAGGGACAGCCAGCATGGGTTTGCCAAGAACAAAGCATGCCAAACCAACCTAATTCCCTTCTTTGACAGGGTAACTGACTTACGGGATAAAGGGAAAGCAGCAGATATGCTATATCTTGATTTTAATAAGGCTTTTAACACAGTCCCTCATCACATTCTCATAAGCAAATTAGGGAAATGTGGTCTAAATTAAATTACTATAAAGTGAGTGCACAACTGGTTGAAAGATGATACTCAAAGAGTAGTTATCAATGGTTTGCTGTCAAAGTGGAAGGGCGTATCTCGTGGGGTTATACAGGCGTCAGTCATGGGACTAGTCAATATTTTCATTAATGACTTGTATAATGGATTGGAGAGTATGCTTAGAACATTTGCAGATGACACCAAGCTGGGATGGGTTGCAAGAACTTTGGAGGACAGATTTAGAATTCAGAACCACGTTGACAAATTGGAGAATTGGTCTGAAATCAACAAAATGAAATTCAATAAAAACAAGTGCAAAGTACTCCACGTAGGAAGCAAAAATGAAACGAGACCTATATAATGGGGAATAACTGGCTAGGTGGTAGCACTGCCGAAAAGCATCTGGGGTTATAGTGGATCGCAAATTGAATATGAGGCAACAATGGGATGCAGTGCCAGTTGCGAAAAAGGCTAATATCGTTCTGGGATGTATTAGCACGAGTGTTGTATGTAAGACACGGGAGGTAATTGCCGCAGTCTACTCGGCACTGATGAGGCCTCGGCTGGAGCCCTGTGTCCAGTTCTGGGCACCACACTTGAAGAAAGATGTGGGCAAATTGGAGAGAGTCCAGAGGGGAGCAACAACAATGATAAAAGATTTAGAAAACTTGACCTGTGAGGGAAGGTTAAAAAACTGGGCCTGTTTAGTCTTAAGAAAAGAAGACTGAGGGGGGGAACCTGATAATAGTCTTCAAATATGTGAAGGGCTGTTACAAAGAGGACAGGGATCAATTGTTCTCCATGTCCACTGAAGGTAGGACAAGAAGTAATTGGCTTAATCTGCAGCAAGGGAGATTTAGGTTAGATATTAGGAAAAACTTTCTAACTCTAAGGGTAGCTAAACTCCGGAATAGGCTTCCAAGGGAGGTTGTGGAATCCCCATCATGGGAGGCTGTTAGGAACAGGCTGGACAAACACCTGTCAGGGATGGTCTAGGTTTACTTGGTCCTGCCACAGCACAGGGGGCTGCACTTGATAGCCTCTCAAGGTCCCTTCCAGCCCTACATTTCAGCAATTCTATGAGCTTCAGTCACCACGACCAGCTGCCCAGAAGTTCTGCTTCAACGTCTTACGTGTGATCCTACCTGGCCTCACAAAAGTATTCCAAACCAGTTTCCCATCTTTTCTGTCTTTCATGTGAAGCTTGATTTCCTCCTCCATATCCGTCATGTAGAGCTCAATATATGACTGCTGGTCTGCGGGGCTTCTATAGCAGAGCTCCAGTTGCTGCAGTAAAGATAAAATGACTTATGAGAGTCTCCCACCTCCGCCAAGAGCAGGAGTGAACGATGCCCATTGTCTGCTGTGTCCATTGTGGTCTCTTGGCTTATACTTAGATTGGAAGCTCTTTGGGGCAGGTCCATCTTTTTGTTCTGTGTTTGTACAGCACCTGGCACAAGGGGGTCCTGGGTCACGACTGGGGCTCCTGGGCACTACCACCATACAACTAATGCATAATAATAATGAATTGTTCAGCTCGTTTTGATGCCTCGGTGGAAGTAGAGGACAATCCTACTTACGTCAGGTGTTATCTTTAGCTCTGATGTACCAGACACCTCATACTGAGACCCAAAGTACAGCGCATTGGTCTGAGGAGGTTTGGGAACGAGCTTTGACTCCCACTTCGTTTCTTCTTCTTCAATGGCCTGTAAATTTCAAGCATTGTCATTTCTGAGAGATACAAACAGGAACCTCTGACCCACAGCCAGCTCCGTCTTCACTCAGAGCATCTCGAGTCGGAGCAGGAAAAGGCCTGTGAGGTCACCTTGGCCATCCCCCAGCCAAAGCAGGCATGTTCCCTACACTACGTTCGGCTGGGATCCGGTCCAGCCCAGTTAAAAATAATGCAGGTGATGGGACTGTCACCATTTCCCTGCTGGGAAGCTCTTTGAGAGCCTAACAGACCTCACGTTCAGGAAGTGTTTCCTCAGACAAACCTGATCACCACTGAAAAGATGGAGGCCTCTGCTTCTGCTTAAAAATAGGGTGTGATCAAGTAAGGAAAGACTCTCACAATACATAGAGACAAGGGAGCAGAGGGAAGGTTGCAAACCATAATCTTAATTGTGGCATTCTCCAATTAGTGGGTGATTGACTTTGCAACCTTAACACTGTTCTTTTAATGTGTGTGTATCTTCCATAGTGAGAACAGGCTATGGGATCTACAGGCAATGTGGGGGTGTCTCCTGGGGTTCTTACAGTGATCATGTGGTCGCAGCCAGTGTAGCTAATGTTGAGTTCTAGCTGCCAACCTAATTCCCTCATCCCCTCGCTCAGAGTTTTCATTTTATCCTGGACTCTCCCGTGCTTCAGGGTGACATTTTGTAAAGAAGTTTTTTCATTGCTCGGAAGCTCAGTTCTACATGGAATAGCCCAGGGTGGGGAATGAGGCTTCTGGAGAAAACAGCACCTCCTAGTGGGTGCTGGGGGGACCTGGCCTTTAGCTTCAGGAATCACTATGTGGCTGAGTGGTGTGGATATCACACCACGGCAAGCCCGGCCCTGAGCTATTCCTACCTGTCCACTGCTGCATATGGTGCCCCGTGAAGCTTGGTCACACTAACAATATAGTCCCAACTGCATGCCTTGAAGGGTTAAAATCCATGTGCATTTTATATAACAACCTGGTATATGGATTGGGCCAGCTCTTTTTCAGATCCAAAGTCCAGAGTTTGGTCAAGAGACCAGAAGCCTAGCAAATAGTGATTAGCTAAGAGAAAGCAGAATAAACAAGATGACATTGCCTTTGCTAAGATATGCTTGGTCAGTAAAAATGCCAGATGTTGAAGCAATAACTGAATAATTATGTTTCATCCAATGTTTCAAATTGAACAAAGGATCCCTGTTCCTATTGTGTTTCTCCTGAAGGGAAAACAATCTTCCCACAGATCCAACCTTGAGTTTATGAAAATTGGCACACGTCAGTATAATGATATGGCATCCTTCCACCTCCCTTCCCAGGGACCAAGGCCCTGCCTTAAGGCATAAAGGAGACAATCTGTATTACCTATCCTTTCACTGTTTCTTTGCTTTAACCCCTAGGAATGTAACTGTCGGACAATCAAAGGAGTTGCTCCATTCCTATGGACCCCAAATCAGAATTCAACATATATATTTTATACTAATAACATTTATCAAAGTATTAATTAAATGTTAACTTGCTAACTTGAGACCATAGGCGGAGACATTATGTAACCTTTTAACCATTGGCTAATGTGCTATCTTGTCTTGCTGCAAAACCTATCCCGGGGTGTGGAACTGCCTACCCCGTCACTTTCCCCCGCCCATGGAAAATCTATATATTTCATTGTAATCAATTGACTGACAGTGTCTCTGAGCCTAATAAGCCAGGTGACACTCTGCCAGCGCTGTGTGCAATAAACCCCTATGCTTTGACCTCTACACGGTGTGGATTTATGTCCTTCAGCCTCATGTTAGCTAGTGCTGTGCATCCCTCGCGAGCTCAACTCTCTCCCCCTGGGTACGTGCCCCAGCCCATCACGCACCACTATTAAAAACACAGGAAAACCTGGCTGCCGAGGTGTCTTCTATTTCAGTGACAGTCAGTGTGTAGGCCTCTGCCCTGTCCTCTCTGAACGATGCCGTGCTGCCTGGCGTTTCACTATGTGCTTGGCTGTTTGGGTGTATTGATGTGGTTCATTCTCACTCTATGGTTGTGCAGTGTCCCAGCAATCTTGGTGTTGGGCACACCGTATAAATGGGATTGTGGTTTTACCTTCCTGAGTGAGTGGTCATTGGGTATCAGGTAGAGGTGGAGAGTTATGTCTGCAGCCCTGAGTGCCCGGTAGATCAGCACAAGGGAATGGATGGGAATAAACGTTACGGTCGAACGTATCTTTCTCCAAAGCACGCCGAGCTGGGAGAAGCTGGGATTCTCCAGGACAACATGGAAGAGATGGATTCTCGTTGGAGTTTCCAGGGTCATGTGGCCAGCTTCAAAATGGGCGATTTGGCATGAACTTAAATCCCCTCCGCCTGCAGCTGGGATAGCTAGGAGAATGAGATTGAAACACCCTGAGCTGGCAGCACCTGTACAATGACACACACCAACACACAACAGCCGTCCCAGACGCCTTACAATTATAAACAACCGCAGGCCCTGCGCAGCCCTGCCATCGAATGGGGTGCAGAGAGATGGATGGAGTGAGGAGAAGGGAAAGGGAAGGAACGAGAGTGAGGGGGAGGAAGAACAGACTGGGAGAAAGCCGGGTGAGGGCTGGGAGAAGGGTACTCAGGGAAGGGGTCACACGGGAGGCTTAAGAGATAGGAGAGATAACAAAAGCACAACGAGAAGGAAATCAAAGGGAGGGAATCAAAACAAGTGACGCTGCCCCCTGAGTAGGAGAGAGAAGGGGAAGCCGTGGGTCTGGGCACAGGGGCAGAGGCAGGGAATGGCCCGCGAGGGGAGATCAGGAGAACTGGAGGGAGGAAGCGTGGAAGCAGCTGGGAGCGCTCCGGGATATCACACAGAAGAGTCCCCCTGAAGGGAACCACCGGCCCAGGGAGTGATGGCAGGAAATGAAGCTTGCGAGAGCCAGACAGGAAAACGGAGAGGTGGAAGGCCAGGGAAGGGAGAACCAGGGACAGGGACACAATGGCCTGAATTTCCTCTGGGCCTTCTCCCCAGCCCAGCCTGTCTGCTGGGTGTGCACTGGGCATGGAACCACCTCCTGCCACGGGCTCCCCCCATCCCCCTCCTCTCCTGCCCCAGGGGGTCCTTGCACTCCCGTGTGACGGGCACTTGTCTGACCCTCAGGCGCTGGAGGATCTACCCATCATCCCCTGCAGGGGGAGCCACACTCCCGTCAGGGTGGGGGATCCACACCCGAACTGGGCCGGACTGTGCCTGGCCCTGCACAGCGAGGAGGAGGGAGAGGCAGCCAGGAGCCTTCCTCTCGGCTGCCTGCTCCTCGGAGCAGGGCCAGGCACAGTCCCCACCTTGTGCTTCTGCTGCTCACAGACCAGGGTGACAAGCCCTGGCAGGGCTGATGGACCCCCCCGCACCCCAGGAGACCCCACAGCCCACACTAGCCCCACAGCCCACACTAGCCAGTGGAGCCAAGCTGGAGCAGGAGCCAGGAGGGGAGTGAAGGATTGGGCCAAAAGAAATCAGATGCGGTTCAACAAGGACAAGTGCAGAGTCCTGCACTTAGGATGGAAGAATCCCATGCACTGCTACAGACTAGGGACCGAATGGCTAGGAAGCAGTTCTGCAGAAAAGGACCTAGGGGTTACAGTGGACGAGAAGCTGGATATGAGTCAACAGTGTGCCCTTGTTGCCAAGAAGGCTAACGGCATTTTGGGCTGTATAAGTAGGGGCATTGCCAGCAGATCGAGAGACATGATCATCCTCCTCTATTTGGCATTGGTGAGGCCTCATCTGGAGAGCTGTGTCCAGTTTTGGGCCCCACACTACAAGGAGGATGTGGAAAAATTGGAAAGAGTCCAGTGGAAGGCAACAAAAATGATTAGGGGGCTGGAGCACATGACTTATGAGGAGAGGCTGAGGGAACTGGGATTGTTTAGTCTGCAGAAGAGAAGAGTGAGGGGGGATTTGATAGCTGCCTTCAACTACCTGAAAGGGGGTTCTAAAGAGGATGGATCTAGACTGTTCTCAGTGATGGCAGATGACAGAACAAGGAGTAATGGTCTCAAGTTGCAGTGGGGGAGGTTTAGGTTGGATATTAGGAAAAACTTTTTCACTAGGAGGGTGGTGAAGCACTGGAATGGGTTACCTAGGGAGGTGGTGGAATCTCCTTCCTTAGAGGTTTTTAAGGTCAGGCTTGACAAAGCCCTGGCTGGGATGATTTAGTTGGTGTTGGTCCTTCTTTGATCAGGGGGTTGGACTAGATACCTCCTGAGGTCCCTTCCAACCCTGATATTCTATGATTCTATTCTATGATTCTATAGAGGGCACAGCGCAGAGGCCCCTGGGACCCGCACTTCCCCAGTGCTACAGGAGCTGCTGCGTGAGCTAGACCCTCTCCCCCAGCCCCACTGGCTGCAGACTGTGGCTCAAAGCCGCCATCAGCCCCTGACTCCAGCATCGAGCCCAGTGACGCCCCGTTTCTGCCCTACCTGCAAGGCACACGAAGTGGGGGAGGTGCACGGCTCGCACCGTGTTGGGCTCGGCCCTGATGTGGAACAGGGGGCCGGCGACCATCCACTCCTG